TAGTTAGTAGTTAGTGTGTGTGTGTGTGTGTGTGTGTGTGTGTGTGTGTGTGTGTGTGTGTGTGTGTGTGTGTGTGTGTGTGTGTTCAGACCCTGTTGTTTTAGGTATAGTTGCTGCCGTTCTGATTGTTGGTATTGGTGTTGTGATGACCTCCATGTTTGGCCTCTACTACACTGGATTCCTCTGTAAACTGAAGGCAACTCTACCTAGAGCACTTATTGTAAGAAATATATATACTGTATATATATATATCCGTCTGTCTATCTGTCCGTCAATCCATCCATCCCATTGAAGTTCTTTATTTTCATTATACACTTTTAACAACAGGTCGAAACATGCTTCTAAGTAGGCAAATGAACCCTTAAAGGAACAATGAAAATTATTTATTGGAAAGTGAAGTTGCAGATGCTAAATAAATACCCCTTTAGTCCCTTTCCAAGCGTGTCAGAAAACCTACAGTTGCCTTAAGGTAAAAACAACTTCAACATGTGTAAGGTCCTCTCTAGGTGCGTGTATGCTGTGAATTAGATCAGAACTGGAGAGTTATTTAATCGAAAGAAGAGAACAGACAGCACTCAAGGCTTTTCTCCAGGGAAAATGTCTCCACCCTTTTCTTGCTTGGGCATTAGTTTGATAAACTCTTCATCTTCCAAATGTTTTAGGAAGCAAACCACTTCAATCCTCAGTTTCCCATGTTATATAAAGCAGCCACTTTCAACTTTGGTTCTGAAATAGAAGCCCAAGACAAGTGCCTTAAACTTCACTGGTTTCAAAAGAAGACAATTACACTATTTTGTGGTTCAATTTTCAAGTTTTCTTATCTGTCTTTTTCAGCTTATGGGTGTTTTTTGATCCGCCCTCTCATGTCACTTCTGGTATTACAAAACCACAATGGTTCGGCCAAAAAACACAGAGGGCGACCATCAAGGCCTCCAAACAGAAGCCTACAAACTAAGGGGTTACCTCACGCTGACAACGTCCACTTCTAGTGTTTAGTCTACAGCGATTATAAACTAATAAGAACATATCTCTGAATATTTCATTCTATTTATGCCAATAGATCCCCAAAAATGACAACACATGGTGCTTTAACTATTCCATTCTCTCTAACTGTACTTTGAAGTCAGTATGCTTCAAACAAAGAGCTATTCAAACAGCATCTGATATTTATGTGCACCAATGTCTTTTTTTCCATTAAAGCTTCATCCCATCTTCTTTTAGTGCATTAGCAACATTTACAGCCCCAATGATTTAAAATAGGGTTGTAAAAGTGTTCTTACTGGATAGTTAATTTATCTCATTGAAAATGTAAGTCAACGGGAAAACGTTTTTGTATGACCAAAATGACGTCTTGGATGCTGTAGTACCACCGTTTGGCCACTACAGCCATTCCAAAAATCAGCTTTAACAAGACTGACACTTACAGTAGATACCGTAGCTTCAACTTAACCATCATGTTTCACACAGAACATTTGCTGTCTTGGCTCCCTTTGGCACCATTATTACATTATGTTGAATAGATGATTCCTGGGGATGGTGCATTTCTAAGTTGACATATCTATTACACTGTAATAAATATCTCTTCTCTCCCTCTTTGCTACCCTAGGAGGCTCAGAGCCAAGGCTACACCCTGACACCGGAGAGGACAATCCCTGACAATATCTCCGTTAGTGCAGGGAGGGAGAGACCGAAGAAGCCCTACAATGCCACAACTCCACAACCCGCCACCAGGGGCGCTGACTCGAGTGACGAGGATGAAGACGAAGAGGGAAAGATGTACATGAATAGAGGATTTTCCTCGGGGGAAAATTCCTGCCAGGACTCTGTTGATGTGTCGGGAAACAGCAAGGTGTCTGCGTCAGGGGGCTCTGGCAGTTTGACGGGGGGGACGCAGGTACCGGACATAGTGCTGGAGATTGAGGCACCACATGTGGGGGGGCTTGATGAAGATGAGCCCAAAGCTGAAGGAGCTTTCCTGTCTGATGGAACAATGACAGGTGAGGTGGAGGAGGAGCAGGTGTGTGAGAGCTCAGGGAATATCAATCTGTTCTCAGTCACCCTTGCTGCGCTGGCTGTATGCGAGGAAGAGGAGCACAACACAAGAGATTCTCCCACAGACCTTTTGCAACTTTCTGATCTGGAGCCTCTCCTGCTCACACACTCACAAACTGAGTCAGATGATCAGACAGCCGTGGCATTATTGCTACCCACACAAGAAGACATTACTGAAGGCACACTTGCGGACACTTTCTCTAGCTGTCTCAACACCTGTGATGGTGAGATGCAGCATGAAGAGACAAAAGAAGAAGAGGAGGAAGATGAAGAGGAGGAGGAGGAATTCTGTGGATACATGCAGCACTAATGATGTGTTGTGCTGTTTGTGAAATGGGGCCTGAACAAGGCTATTTCTTGCAGCTTTTAAAGTGACATTCAAAGAATAATATATAGTATAGTACAACTTGAGCTTAACTAGTGATTTTTTTTCTGCTTTACTGAGGATAAGGTCATCTGTGGTGTGTCGTGCCTCTTACACACGTGTCTGTACATCTATGGGCAGGGAAGCTCCTCTGCTCCATGGCTCAGGGCCAATAGAAACAGCATCATTGTGGTGTCATCTCTAATGTCACATCAGAGCAACAGTGGACCATTTCTGATGTTATTGTTGTTTGCACAATAGACTGTTCTCCTGTTGCAGAGCTTTACTTCGATATATTTCAATTGAAGACCAGAAGGAGAAATCCACCTAGCAAATCACACCCTGTTAATGGTCATTAAGTGCATTCCTTTTATTTGAGGTAACTGAAGTGTTGTGTCTGGCCTTTTGGCCAGACACAACACTTCAGTTACACATCCATACAGTTACACATCCATACAGCTCTCCTGCGGCATTGGTCTGATTTTGAAAGCGAGTTGTTCTTGTAAACATCTAAGTAAAAAATATGTAACTTTACTGAGAGCTTCGATACATCCCACCTATGGATATAAAACTTCCCGAAAAGTCAACATAAAAAGATACCTCACATAAGCTGAAGTTAAATAGACATTTGGACTTGTCCCCGTATGGCACTGTGTCACTGAACCAGCATGAACATTACCACAACTCTGAAACTGAAGCACATCATTGGAATTGTCCTCAAACTTATCATTTAAACCTTGATTTTGTTTTGTTCAAAAGGCCAACTTTCAATCCCTCATTAAAACTCAACTCTTCAATCATGCACCAGTGTATGAATGTGTGTGTGCATGGGTGGATGCTGGCTTGTGTTGTAATGGACTTTGAGTGGTTGCAAAGACTAGAAAAGGACTCATGCTGTGGGCAATACACTCTATTCCAAAGTCGCAGTTTGAAAATGAATAGTTGGTGCACATCTTTTAAAAAATGTTTTGTATAAGTATGTTGATGTTATTGTATGCTAATAACTAAATAAGCTGCAATATTTGGTATTTAGGCCTAGTATTCACTGTATAAAATGAGTATGTGGTATTGGATTGGAACACAGCCTAATGAAGGATTGATCAGGCAGCTGGAAAGACACCAGCAAAAAATAATGTTGTGAAGTTAAATGGGAATGTTCTGTAAAACCATGTGTGTTCTGTTCTCACATTGATATTGCATGCGTGTGTTTATAGATTAATGTTTCAGACCACTGATGCGTCATTCTAGAATATAATTCTTGACTCCATGCTTTAAAAACAAGTTGAAAAAGGTACACAAACAGCAGTCCTATGATTTTACTTCTTCTAGGTCACGTGATTTCCTATCAACAGCCTCGTCAGATGTTACGTTCACGTAACGACGGACAAATTCAATTCACCTCTAGAAGCAAAGTAAAGTTGCAAGTAACATTTTTTTATTGTGTGTTTTACAATACATTGGGGGGAAATAACATAACTTAAGATGTAGCATTATCACGTATCTAAGAGAAGATGTAGTCTTATCACCACCTGAGAGTGAATGCTGTTTATCTTTTTTATTCGTTATCGTTATTTTTGTCCTCACTTTACGTTGCATGTTATCGCTGTCCAATTAAAATGCCAACTTTTGTACTGAAATAACAAAGAACATTCCTGATGTATTTATTCATTCTTCCAATTAAAGGAATTTTTGAAAACGCTTTATTATTGTTTTGTGTGACTATTTCGAAGGTATCCTGTCAGTGTGGCAAACTGAACTCGAGTTCCTGAAGGCAGCATGACCAGCTGCAGTGTGTATGCGTCCACCACACCGATGTCTGTCAAAGCTGGAGAAATACGTTCTCAGGACAGGTAACTGTAATATCTAACTATGTTAAGAACAGTTTGTAGCTGTGACCTTACTACTCTTCTAAAACCTTTAGATCGCTACATGCTGATACAATCATTGCTAGTCCATGAGTTAGCTAAAGTAAGCTAACGATAAATACATTTCCGGCTAGGGGCTGCATTGAGAAAAACATAAATAAGACCAACTCAGTTACATTGAACAAGATAGCGTTATATGTTTTAAGAATTCATTCATTTGTAAATAAGGGGACGTTAAACTGTGTGTATATAAGCTAACTAAGCCGGTACAAAGGCAATATGAAAGCATTTTTGAACTCACAGTGACGTTTCGATATGAAAGTAAACTGGTATAACAGTAACCTGGCGTGATGTGAAAATGTAACATTAAATTGTAACTAGTGTTATTTACGGTAAGTCTAATGTTAACTGCACATGTTGTCAGTGTGAAATAGAAAATATTTTGCTACCCACCTGATAGTCATCACATTATCATTTCTCAGACAATTTTGTCCTAAGCAAGTTCAGATAATTGTATTAACAACACGATTATGATATATTTGACTAAAAGGCTGCTGTAGTAACTGCAGTTTTGTTCTGACAGATGTTAATATGAAAGTAAATGCAGCAGAGTTGTGGCTGGGGTGGGCAGCATGACCGCTCTCCTGTGGATGCTCGCGCTGCTGCCTCGCGTGCTGCTGTCTCACGTGCTGCCAGGTGAGGACACATGGTTTAGTACAGTTTGTGAGATGTTTGACATGCGAGCCAGCTTTAATTCGAGTTTTGGGTCATGCATTATTAAATGGTACATTTTACTACCATATATATTATATTGTATTATGTATAATTATATGCTGTTGACAGACTTTGATACGATTGTGGAGTTCACCTTTAATAAATCTCTGGATAACACAGAAAGTGTAGATTAAGTTGTTAACAAATCGAATAGCTTTAATAACGTATTTTTTAATGCCAACACTTAGTATGTATATTTGAGGTGCATTTTACATATGAATCGATAGGTTACTAACGTAACCCCAGTTCTCAGAGTAACATGAAGTGAGATGTCTCACTATGGGCGGATGCGCCTCCCCGCGAATGCCTCAGAAGCATCAATCTCATTACGCCAATCCTGATTGGCTGGTGATCTTGAAAACCACGTCAGGGAATCCACCCACCCTTTAAGTAGCTTGCGCTACAACGCAGCGTCATTAAAAAATAAGCACCTCTCAGTGCATGACATTAAGGATTTTGGGAGATGGCCCTGTGGGCCATCTAAGCTAATTTACAGATGGCCCTGAGCCCAATAGAAATTGCCCTGAAAAATGCGCGCGGACGAAATGACGCACGAAGGGTTTGGGGGGCCTCCCCCTAGAACATTTAGATTTTTGCAGGTCTTAGATGCTGTCTGGTGCATTCTCTAGACTGAATTATAAGATGAACCACCACAATATTTCAATTTCAATTGTATTCTTCATTTCACTTGTTTGTGTTTGCTCGCTTGCATGCCCTGCATAGCTATAATAAATACTTAAGTTGTTTGTCAAGACACTTTCCATCTGATGAAGGCAAATGCCTTCCCAGATGTAAAAAAGTAGAAAACATTACATGCAGCTATAACTGCCAAAACAAAGATTATTTACGCTATTATGGCCCCTGTTATTGGTCGAAGGAATGCCTCCTCATCCAGAAGCTGACCGAGCAGACCCGAGCAGCCGAGTGCATCCGCGAAGCACACACAATGGCGACGTCAGAGTTCCCGTTAGCAAGCAAATCTAAATCTCTTCGGTCAAAATGTCCGGTCAAAATAATTTCCCTTTAGCGCAATACCGCTTCAGTTGCGCCACTTATGTGACAGACAAGAAGAGTATGTGACAGACAAGAGTAGTCCATTCTAATGTGTAACACTTAATGTGGAGAAAGATCTCTTTCTCCACATTAAGTGTTACACATTAGAATGGACTACTCTTGTCTGTCACATACTCTTCTTGTCTGTCACATAAGTGGCGCAACTGAAGCGGTATTGCNAGCACCTCTTTTCACCCTCTGTCTGAAACCAGAGCCCAGTCTGCTCTGATTGGTTAGCTGGCAGGCTCTGTCGTGGTTGGTCAACTTCTTAGAGCTGTCCCGTCCCTTAGCCTATCACGTACAATGTGATGAAAAGCTAGCTAATAGAGGTGTGAGTGTTACATGATGTCACTATGTTCAAGAAGTAAACAAAGATACAGGGATTTAAGCCTTTGTAGACCATTTACATGCACAAAAACCTGTATAACACACTTCTGGAAAGGGGAAACCCAACACAAACCATTTACTTTGAGACAAGGGAACTGGAAGTGGTAAAATGCCAGTTTTAAGACTCATTACTGCACCACTCTAGTCAGAGAAAGCTTTTCTAACAACTCTTTATTGATGTGGACGCCATGGGGACAGAGAACATATGAAGCAGCAGTCATAAGGACTTTGGAAAATAATCCCACTGTAGAACAATAACATGTTGTGATACATGGAGAACAGAATAGTGGGGCTGTGCACCCGAACACAGAGAGCTGTACCTGCAGTGTAGTGGGCGGGGGTGAAAGCACACACAGGCTGGCTGTAGTTGGACTTCCTGCGCTCCCAAACGTGAGAGATACGGACTGACACACAGTATTGTCTGCCAGAGGCCAGATTCTTCAGAATCACTCGTTCCAGAGACCGGCTGTCCATAAATGACTGCACAGAAAGAGACGCCACGTTAGAACAAGACAAAACTACTGCTTTCTCAAAATAAAAAAAGTAATTGGATAAGCAGGTAATGGCAAATAGAGCAGCTAAAACTGTCTGGTAAATTCGGGAAATATCAATCTGCTTTATTACAAGGCTTGATTGTAAACTCAATTCTTATTGGTTAATTCAGAACATGTGACACATTGTTAATACCCTACTACAGAACGCTGTCAAGGACTATAATGACCGTTGCTAAGGAAGATCAAGAAAGAGAAAGGAAAAGAGGTTAAAGTGCTGGACGTCAGATAAATGAACAGAAGAAGACAGACAGGAAGTGAATAAGATACGATAATACTTTATTGGTCAGCTCAAGTCTGACATTTGACTTGCATCACAGCCAACACTAACAGGAACACGGTATGGGCTCTGCAGTATAAGGACTTGTTAGTGGATCAGAAACTGTGAACACACTTGGACAGTGCTGCCGTAAACTTGTTGTTGTCCCAGCCGTTTGTGCGCCGTGGAACGGAGGTTTTTTTTCTTAGCGGAAGTAATAGGATCATTTTTAAGTCAATAAAATCATTTAGATTAATATTGGGAGTCGAGTTGTTAGTTTGTTTAGTATGTGGCCGTGTTATAAGAGGGATTATGTGCAGCAAGGCGTGGGGTGTTCTTTTCCCCATAATGACCGCCTCGCTGCACATTATCCCTTACTTAATGCAGCCTTTAAAACCAGGAGAATACAACACATACATTATCCTAAATCTAAGAACATATCTGGTCTCATATCACAATATTAATATAGCACTGATATATTGCCCAGGCCTTCAAAATGTATATTTGATACTTTCTTGTTTATTTCTTTGAATTTTTTTTGTACAATGCCATGTCTTTTTTATGCTGCTACAACGCAAGAAACTCCCAAGTTGGGATCAATAAAGTACTATCTTATCTTATCTTATATCGAAGCTGAACAAAGAATTAAAACCTTAAGATTTCACGACCACATTGAAAACGTTTTATTCACAGAAGTTGGAATCATAGCATCAGTAGTTGGCCTGTTCATGCAGAGTTGAATATGTATGTTTTGATCAAGCAATACTTTTTAGTGTGGTTTCAATTTCACATTCACCGTGGAGGCATTTGTGAAAAACAAAGCATTCTTCAAGAGTTCAAGGTAATATGGGAGGAGTAATTGATATACAATTGGTCCTCTTGGGGGTGATGTTTTCTGTGAAATGCATCATTTTGGTCCAATTCTATACCTGTTAACTTTAATCTATCAACAGGTTAAATGTTAAAGTACACTACCTGTTTTCATTACATTTCATTATAGCACCCGCAAAAACCTAAATATGTCCTCAGATGACATTTATAAATGTGAGCATTAGCTTTCGAAACATCACACAGTAGCAATAAAATGCTTATCTGTCCTTGTTACTACTCTGTACATTTCATCCAGCACCCATTATTGCTGCAGCAACTGTTTTCACCCTCTGTCTGAAACCAGAGCACAGTCTGCTCTGATGGGTTAGCTGGCCGGCTCTGTGGTGATTGGTCTACCACTTAGAGATTTGTGGGTAAAGTCCCGCCCCTTCACACTGTATGTGAGTCTATATGCAGTACCTGTGCGTTGTTTGCATTGTTGCTCTGGATCCTGAGTTGGTAATGCAGATTATCATAGAAGGCCCTGAGGTGCTCCACGGGGGGCCGGGGGTCCACACACAGATCCTGGCCACAGGGCGTCACAGTCAGCAGGGGCAGGTCCAGGGCAGCTGGAGAACACAGACACAGGGACAAAACTAATATGACCATCATGAAGTTTTCATTAGCTGATAGAAAAAAAAGGGGAAGATCGCCATTATAAACATTTCCACATATTTGTGAAAGGGCAATTTCCTCTTCTGACTCCGTACAAGTCTCAGTGAAACACTTCAACAGAGCAGCATAAATTAAATAAGTGCAGGGGGTAAAGCTTGTTTTGTATCTCATTTTCAGTAATATAACTTGCAATAAGTGAGATATCCAGAGCTGTAAGTGTTATATGAGGAGCATTATTTAGTAAAACCCAGTTCCATACTCTCAGCAAAGATACATGTTGCTGGTTTTATGTTGTCAGCAAACAATGCCCGACATTCTGTAGTCAAAGTATTCAAAAATTAAATGGTATATTCAGTGTGTGCTGAACTGCAGCAGGTCTGTAACAGTAGGCTAACTGAAGGACCTTACTGAGCTTACTGGGGATACACACCCACACACATTTGAACATGAAATTGGAAAACAACACAGGTTAAATTGTCGTTTTATCAACAAATAATCACGAATGAACTGTGTTTTAGTCCACACGGAGACGAAACAGGTTGTATCTGCTACAGTTCTCTATCGTATGGAAGGTTCGTCCACACGAGGCCGTAACAGAACCAAGGAAACGGAGCCCTCAAACGGTAATGGGTCCCAAGGTGGGTAGGTCTGCGAACGGAACGCTCTGGGGGGTCAAACGGCTCCGTGTGTACGCCCTATACGCCATAGCCCGCCTCTCCCCACCTCTCCTGTTCACCCCCGCGTCATTGCTGATGTGTTTTGCCAACAACAACAACAGTGTTCCGAGTGTTTCGAGCTAGGTCCCGGTATCTCGCAGGACAGTGCACCCAGCAGGAGCCTCCATCACACCCCCTGCACGGTTCCCTCGTCCCTTGGAAGAGGCGGAGAGGTGGGTGTTTTTCATCTGCTGGTGGACTACCGGGGAGCACGTCCTGCTCGGGAGCCAGGCTCAGAGTTAGTGGCAGTGGGTGCAGTGCACCTGCCTTTTACAGCAGGAGCACACGCTCGCCTCGGGGAGGGAGAAAAAGAGAAACAGAGGCCGCCGAAACAGCCAGAGCCCTGCCTCTCCCCATCTCTGCTGCTCACTGCTGTAGCATGGTCATGTTAGTGGAACATTTACAGCTCCTCTACCACAACCATCAGCAACAAGTGGACATGGAGAACTACATGAACTACATGTTGCTAAATCCACCGCGGAGAATAAACAGAAGGGCAACCAGGACAACCAGGCAACCATGCTTGCTGCTTTTGGTGTATTTTGTGGCGGAAGTACAGCGCCACTTACAGGCCCGGCATATGTACTACAGCGTCTCCAGCGGGTCGAGCGGTCTTGTGTGGACGGACAAGTTTATTGAGCCGATACCATGTGGACGGAAGACGTTTTTGATATCGAATTCGGTTCATTCTCCGTTTCGTCTCCGTGTAGATGCAGCCTTAATGTATTTGTTATTGTTATTTTGGTGTGTTGCATGTTAACGCTGTCCAAATTGAAAATGCAAGCTTTTGTACCGAAAGAGCAAAACACATTCCTGATTTATTTAGTCAGTCTTCCAATTAGAGGAACCTGTAGCTAAAACGTATTTATAACTTATTAGTAGCGGAGGAATATATCAAAGGACATGAAAAATCCAAAGAACTTAACAAGTCGGTTCAGGAATGCCACAACCAAGGTCATAAAGAAGAAAAAGCGAAAAAGGAAATGCAATGGGCTGATATTCTCTGCTTCAAAGGAAGAGAAACAGAAGTTCAAATGGAGAGAACAAGATGGGGTGGCAGGAAGAAAGGAAGAGGCATCTCTAGACGCCATCTCCATTATTAGTCCTTTAATTCAACATCTAAATTCAGGGCGTTGCAACTTACTGTTTTTGATGGGCTCAAATCCAGGGTGTATGACAACGGTGACTTTTCCTGGCTGTGAGTCCAACAGTGCTGAGATGCTGGTGAAGTACAGCTGATCCCGGACGGGGAAGGCCTCTGTCAGGTTGCACACCAGAGGGGACTGGACATGCTGGCAGCCGGAAACTGGCACCCAGATAGTCCCCCTGCAGGACCAGAGGAGGGGAGGAGCAGACGTTAGGAGGCCACAAGACACCACTGTTGACTGTTGAATGTTGACAGCAGGAAGCTTTTGGTGATTCTTTCTCACCGCAAAAAAGTCATTGTCAACATATGAAGGTCAATAATGTGACGCCTACACGTTCAGTCTAACCATATTTTATTAAGATAATCTTGTAAGTAGTACCATTGGTGCGACCTTCCAGCATTGACTGATGTTTGAAAAAAACGTTTTTTTAAATGACCATAAATCTACTCAAATCAATTCTCCTCCTTATTTTTCATAATGTCTTTAGGGTTACTTGCTTGCTTATCCTGTTGTACTAATTTCCCAATTTCGGATGAATAAAATATCCATCCATCCCTCCATCCATCCATCCATCCCTCCCTCCATCCATCCCTCTATCCATCCATCCATCCATCCGTCCCTCCCTCCATCCATCCATCCCTCCCTCCTTCCATCCATCCATTTTAGTCCCAATAGAAATGACAAAGCATTTGTTTTAATATTTGAATCATAATACACATGTATAAAACTGAACTGTTAAAGAGCCAGCTGTACCCTGACTGCTGTAAACAAAAGGAGAAGAACAGAAAACTACCCTGATGTCACTACCTGTGACATTTGGCTGATTTCGGACTGTGAATGATTGTATGACCTGATGGTTTAAGCGTAAACATGTATTCTAGCCTGCTTGGAACACTAAATGGATTATGACTTCAAACTGCATCTTAGTACACGTCTCTTCACAAACTTCTTTGTGTGTGTGTCTTTGTACAAACTCTGACCAACATCTGTAATCCTTTTCTGTTGTAACACAAACAGAACGCATCAATAATCCTGCAACCCGCTGATTCTACAAAGACTCACAGTTAGTATACATACAATAAACTATAACAAACATTAATGAAACCCACTTGTCTGTCATTACAGCGACTTGGTAGTAGACTCCTGTGGGTGTCCCTGGTCCAGGCTCCCATCTCAACTCGTGTTTGAAATGGCTTGAGGTCAGGTTTATGTTGACAGGTGAGGGGAGTTTAATCATAGCTGTAATACAAATAAACGGGCATGAAATGTATATACGACGTACATACAGTATAGCAGTTCTCATTCATAACACTCCGTTCAATGTATCACAATGGGATGTGCCTCCCCGCGAATGCCTCAGAAGCATCAATCTCATTACGCCAATCCTGATTGGCTGGTGATCTTGACGACCGAGTCAGGGAATCCACCCACCCTTTAAGTAGCTTGCGCTACGACGCAGCGTCATTCAAACACCTCTTCTCGCTTCGGAGCACATCTCTAAATTATCAGTAGCCTGGCTAGCTTAACTGTCCATAGACTGAACCACTCTAAGCTAACTTTCGGTCGCCGGACGCTTGCCGGCTACACTTGCTTCGCATAGATTTGAATATTAACACACCAGTTAATACTCGATTCTGCCCCCCCATTTTTTAACGGTAAGGGTTTTGATTATTGAACAGTAACATACCAGTTGTTGTTGCTTCGCAGATTCGAATATTAACACACCAGTTAATACTCGATTCTGCTCCGCCGTTTTTTAACGGTAAGGGTTTTGATTATTGAACAGTAAAATACCAATTGTTGTTCCGTCCCTCCAAGTCGGCACTCCAGCTATCCAGGATGGACCCTTCTCTTCCTCACACCAGAGGAGACGGAGGCTCTGAGGCTCGACTTTGCGGGTGCGGGTTTATAATATCGAGCACGGACTCACACCAGGTCTGCTCGTCCTGCCTTGGGCTGGAACATGCCCGGAAAGCTATCGAAACCCCCGGTTCGTGCGGACACTGTGCCCGCTTCACTGTCAAGAGCCTCCGCCATCGGGACGAGACCCTTTCATGTCTACCATTATGTTCTTTTGAAGAACAGCGGCCAAATTTGCTGTGCCCAGTTCGTGCCTTGCGCACCTATATGGACAGGTCCAAAGAGTTTCGATGCAATGACCAACTCTTGTATCCTGGGCTAACCTCATAAGCTCATAAGACAGGCGTATATGCAGGAATCCTGAAGTCAAATTTAATACATTTTAAGACCTTTTTTTAAGACCCTTTCCATACATACATACAACTTTGAGTTCTAACCGGGTTTACATTGGCAACCACACTTTACCTTCACATTTACTGTATTGATTGTAAGATAGCAAACTAAACAGAGTGCAGACAGACTACTGAAGCCTCCTTTCCACATGAACTTCAGCCTCTACTGTGAAGGTCAGGTTTTAATGCAGTATGCTGCTTTTTGCTTCTGTTAGACTCTGTGCTCTTTCATTCCAGTAAAACTCCTCAAAACCATTAGAAACCAGTATTTTGACCAATAAAACAAAACAATTGACAAAACTTTGAACTATGAAATATGTAAACTTTGCGTGAGCTTCAGCGGGTTAATAGCCATTATAGGAGCTCCCTCACAAATACCCAGGGGTTAAATTGGCTGGGCTGTCGGGCTAAGCCCCTGGGCACATAGGGACGATGGCTCTGACGTCATCACCCTCACACCATTTGTCGATATGGGTTTACAAAAAAGGATAATATGTTAAGACTTTTCTCGTTCTAATATAGACTATATTTAGGTCTATATGTGTTGACTATTACTTTAAAATAGCAGATTCTCTGTGACCGGATATAGTCTTGGCTTAGACTCCGGCCCCACGAGGACGCAGTACGGTAAAACGCATAGCAAGCGCAAAAAAAGGCTTCCGTTCAACACGCATTCATTCATTAACGTGTCCGTTCAACACTAGACCGCTGGGATGGAAATGCTGGAAACGACTTGTAAGTACATATGTCAGCCTGTTAAGTGGCGCTTGGCGCCGTGCCCGAAATACACCAAAAGCCAGACGAAGAAGACCCCGGAGCAATGGTTGCCATGGTTCCCCTTCTGTTTATTCTCCGCGGTGGACGGCGTGTTCTTCCTGCTGTATCTCTCAGGTAAGTCCACCAGCAGATGAAAAACACCCACCTCTCCGCCTCTTCCAGAGAACGAGGGACCAATGCGTCAGAGTTTCCGTAAAAAAATGGTTCCCGCCGGTCAACATGTACGTTAAAGTTTAAAATCTTCGTACAAAATTAGAAAAGTGCGGGTCAGAGGTTATTCTTTGTTATTTATTGAGACTTACAAAATAATAAGCAGCATTTTACGGGGCGAGCTATGCATGGGACCGCCTTTGGGGGGATTCCCCGACATTGTCGGTTTCAGTAAATAAAGAGGTGTTTCATGTTTTTCGTTGCTGTGGACCTTCTTAATACCTTGGAAAATGCACGTTTAATCTTTTAAATACTTTTTAATAGCCTTAATTTTTTCGCTAATGATTTAATCAACTTTTAATACTATTTTAAGGACCCCCGCGGACACGCTGTAAGGGCAAGGCCGCGTTTACCAGGCAACGACTCTCGTCACT